AGCATAGACACTTACCGTAAACTGGGGGGAGTGAACTGGCCCATCTGAACCATCAAGCGGCGTAAACTGTAGAGAATGAGTTAGTACCAACTGATTGATGAAGTGATCTATTTACCATGTAACTGTAAACTGGCCCCTCGGATTCAACGGCGGGACACGTCCATGAGAAGGAAGAAGCTCCCGGTCCTGTCAACGAAACAGATTCCGCGACATTGGAAACGACAGTGGCTTCTGGCTGAGCTCCAGACATCAAGTCTGTGAACACTGAACTCAGCACTGACCCACTACAGGTGGGAAGAACTAACCGATGCGCATGGCTTTCCAGCCATTGACCGCCCCGTCAGATGTCCATGAAATCGGGCACGCTTCTCCTGTGCGGAAGCTCTGATTTTCTGTGGGTTCTTTGGGCACAATCTTTGCCAGCGTACCGGCGGTAAGAAACGGGACTGCCCAAAGGAACGTGTGATATCTGAGCATGATGAGTGGTTGAGCTAGGTTGTATCCTTGTGGAGAATCCGAAGGGCCAAGTGGGAAGTGGAAAGGTGATGCAAGAACCGGCTCGCGGAAGAAAAATGAGATGTGAAGGAGGAGAAAAAGGTCTTGGTTGGGGTGTAAGAATAGCTTTCCTTTATCATAGCGAGCTGAACGAGTTGGTAAATCCCAGTCGGAGTACCGCCGACTTGAAAATCATATCTTCAAAAGTAAAAGTTCCCCAAGAGACTCGACTCGTTTGAGATTAAATGAGTTGTATCGACTCCTATATTATGATATGATATGCAGTTTGATATAGAGAGGGCTCTAATAGCTGGAGAGGTGTCGCTATCAATGGATTCGACTAGAACGCAAGTTGTCCAGTTCCCATTCTTGTCCTGAAGACGAGTCCATCCCCCTCCAACCAGTTCCTGGCGTATATACTCGTTGGTTGTTGATAGCACGACGGACATTTGTCCCCAGACAGCTCGACAAAGCAAACCATCCAATAGCGGCCATGCTATAAACGCTCTTAGTCGCTGACGACCCTAGCAAAGTATAGACAAACAAGATCACGGCGCTTACTAGAAGCAACAGGTGCAATGTTCCAGCAGACATTCAGAGCTTGAAAAGGAGTGGAGAGATTAAGGTGTGGTTGATGGCTGTGGTAGATAACGCTGAGAACACTTGCTACCGACTATTATTATGGGCAAGCTCGCACTTCTCCTGGTGGATATCCAATACGATTTCCTACCACCAGACGGCTCGTTGGCCGTTAAAGACGGCGATGCAATCTTGCCGCTGGTGTGTAAACTACTTGATGAGCACGAAGGACGATTTGACCTCGTCGTGGCATCTTTAGTATGTGTTCCTTCAGCGTTTGCCACCCATCTAATCTTACATTTTGTAGGATCGTACGTATATACACAACTCTCTACTACCCTGATAGAGTGACATGATCTCAGATCATCCACCCAAGCATGTGTCTTTCGCATCCACAGCAAGGTTCTCTCCCTATATCCCCTTTATGAGTCTTGACAAGGAGTGGCAATGTCACAAACGAAC